AGCAAAGGGTCTGAATACTTATGACCATGTGATATTTCAGTTTTTCTTTTTTAATAAATCTGCAATAATGTCAAAAATATTCTGTTTTTCTGTCAATATGGGGTGCTGTGTGTACATTAATGAGGAAAAAAATGAACTTAAATGATTTTAGCATATGGCTGCAATATAACAAAGAGTGAAAAATTTAAGGGGGTCTGAATACTTTCCGTACCCACTGTATTTGATAGTTTAACCTCAGTTTAAACTCATTCAGACTGAGCAGAGAAAGTCTCTGGTTGACCTGCTTACAGATTATAACAAATGCAACCTGTGATGTGTGAACCACTAACCCAGTCTGTGCACACTGTGTCACCCATAGTAAGCATGTGATGGAGGATGTGCTCTTTGACCCAAATAAGTCTCCTGATGAACATGTGCTTGGTGGCAAATCACTTCACTTCCCACAAACCTGACTGTGTGGGCTTAGGAGTATCTATAACTAGTGATACAGGTCTATCCTTCCTGTGTTTGTGAAAGACAATGGGATGGCATTGTCCACCTCAAGTTATGTAGACCATCTCTGTACTACTCGCATACACTTTTTGATTTTTCTTGGCATTTTGTTGATTTATTTTAGTTTCACAAACACATTTCAGTTTTTCTTTTTTAATAAATCTGCAAAAATGTCAAAAATTCTGTTTTTCTGTCAATATGGGGTGCTGTGTGTACATTAATGAGGAAAAAAATGAACTTAAATGATTTTAGCATATGGCTGCAATATAACAAAGAGTGAAAAATGTAAGGGGGTCTGAATACTTTCTGTACCCACTGTACGTTTACTGTTATATTTGTGTATTAAATGAAGAAAATCATCACAAATTTGAGCACAAACTGTAAAATACAGGAATCCAAAATATTACTGCGCATACAGGACAGAACACAGACATTTCTCCTACATGGAAATAAAATTACTGGGTTACCCTTCTACTGAATGTGAGGATCTGAAACTCTCTGACTGGGACACTGGTGTAAGACCAATCTGATTACACTGAAATCAAACCTCCTGAGATAAGTACAGTGGCGGACTCTGTCATTATTGGATAGATATAGAAATCTAATCATGCTGCATGAGAAAAAAGAGCCAGCAATGTGTTTTACAAACACATCTGGTTAATCATTATCACACAGTGAAATAAATACATCAGAAAGCAGGACAAATAAGATAGTCAGGACTAAGCACACATCTTGTTTATTTACTCAACAATGGTATTAGATTCTGTGATGCCTATGACAATTTGTGCAACTAAAGTGATCTTTTCTTCATTTAAAGGGGTTCTCACCAACATGCCAACAGTGAAATCTAATTGCATGATTGTACAATGTGCTGTTATTACATAAAAATATATATAAAAAAACAAGCAATATCCAAATAACTGAACCATCTGTTGCAAACTTTTGAAGTGTAAATTTATGGTTTAGCAAGACACTTTTGGTAAAGCGGGACACTGACTTTTAAATCAAAACGTACACATGTGAGCAAATAATACTAAATATTTATTAGAACACCTCTGTTCCATATGAACTTTATCTGTACATATCCAACTGATTCATAGTATTGTTGTCAAGTAGGCTGTTAATGAATATAGTAAATCAGGAGCCAACACAAATGTAAAAAACATTTCATTGATTTAAAAGCTGAAATATTTGTTGTATTTTCATCTTTTTCTCTCTCCTGTAGTGTGCTTGCCATTTCTTGTCAGCTATTTAATATAAAATATGAACATCCACTGTAATAGGACATAGTTATATATTCACCTATTAATAAAGTAAATTGGTAGATCCTAAATGGTTTAGCATTTTAATTGGCGGCTGTGTAGCTATGAGGAGTTTTTATGGTCAAATGTTTTGCTGTTCCACTTTATCAAATAATCCCTGGTTGAGTAGAAAGACTGTTATTTTAATGCCAGCTTCATTATTCCAAAAACAGCTGCTGATTTATCAGCATGCTGACGATGAGGTCTGTTGGAAACCTACAATCACAGCTGTGACATTTCACCCATCAGACCTGTGTTGCGTTCACAGTCCATAACACATTACTACACTGACTCAGCAACTCACCCTTAAGCATTAATGTATCAAGTCCAGCCTAACCTACGTCTTTCGAGTTTACAGTTTTACATAAGTATTGTGTTCACGTTGTTGTGCTGAGTCTGTAAAAAAGCAGTGTCTAGCAATTCCACTTACTTATAGATTAGGAATCAGGAAGTACTTACTCTCTTTAGGGGCACTGTGCTTCTGAACCAGTTATAGTCAGGAGACACTTTAATCTCCTCCATCTGATCACACACACAAACACATACAGTCGGAAAATAAACAGTCAGTTCAGTCTTGTTCATCAGTTAACGTTAGCGTAAAGCAAACCTGTGCTCTACTATCGTTAGGCTACAGTCACAAATCTGTTAACGCTCAGTGACCGGTGCTTAATGGTCGGTTAAACACAGATAATAAACAGTTTCGGTGAAGACTCCGTGGTTAACTGTTAGGTATACTGAATATATTGGCTATATATATAAACAGAATCGAACTGTGTTGTACCGTGCTGGTTGTGGATGTCAGTCACCGTGTCCGGAGGATTCTATCCATGTCTCGGTATCATTTTCTCCGGCTGCTGCTGTCCGGTCATGTGACTCTTATTTCACAAACTTCCGCAAAGCTTCTGACACCGCCCACTGACTTACCATTAATACATCTATGACCAAAACATCAAAACACTCACACACACACCCGCGTAAACTCTCTTCTTCTTCTTCTTCCTTTTCCTTTGTTTTTCTTCTTCCCTTTGTTTTGTGGCGGATTGAGAACTATCGATTAAGATGCATACCGCCACCTACTGCATCGGAATGTGTAGAGTCACTGCATTAAATTATCGGAGTTCAACATCCTCCACTCTAAACAGCTCACTGTGCCTGCCCACACCTGTCAGTGGATCACTACCTTTCTGACAGACAGAAAGCAGCAGATGAGGCTGTGGAAAACCACATCCAGAAATCAGACAATCAGCACAGGTGCCCCCCAGGGATGCGTGCTCTTCCCACACATTTTTTTCTTTTTTTGTTTTCTGAGTCTTATCTTCTTGTCTACCCATTGCTTTATAAAAGAACATTGTACATACACACTGAGAGCCACACACCAGAGTCAGATTCCTCGTGTGTCCAACACACCCGGCCAATAAAGCTGATTCTGATTCTAATAAAAACACCAACAAAAAAACTTTTCTATTTACCAATCCTGTCTCTAGAATGAATTGGAAGAATCTTCTTCTAATTTCCCAAACTCCTTTCTCTGTAGTAATTTTAAATGCTACTCCCATTCTGCTTCACACACAAGCCCCTTTAGTGTTTTTATGTTTTAGAGTTTTTTTTGTTTTTATGCCCACATGCTCTCTCCTTATCACCTCCTCTCTCCAATTACAGAATATGTCTTTGACCTGTTTTGCATTAAATGGTTTTTGAATTTTATAGTAGTGTCCCCCTTTAATATGTGAATCCCATTCTCTCTGCCATACTTTAATCACTGCTGATCTAAATACTGAGTTTGCCTCTCCTCTACCATATGCTGCTTATATTATTTCATTATTATGCAGTTTTAGAGCTTTCTTAGCCAGGTTGTCTGCTTGTTCATTTCCTGTATCTCTATCCCTACCCTTTGTATTTTTAATAACATTGTATGTATTTCAGTCATGACATCTTCTCTTACAGCTTTACCTGATAATAATCCCATTAGAGCTGCTGATGAGTCCGTTTTAAGTGGCTTAACTTGTTCTATCCAATGTAAAACTAAAATTATTGCAATAATCTTGACCTAATTTCTGCAGAAAAACATAGTTTGTCAGTGAGTTTACAAAATATAGTGGAATTAAATTCAGGTATGAAAATATCAATTCCTATATGTCAAGTACCAGGATTCTTAGATCCATCTGTATATATCATTGCAAACCTATGGGACTGCTTTCCTATATAGTCAGTTTTGTGATGTTGTGAATGTTTTGTGAATATCATTTTCCCACAGTTGTTCACACTTTGAGTGTCTTGAAATGTGTCAGGTTTGCTCGGCCGCTCTGCCTCCCTCACCTTTCCTACTGTCTCTTGTCCATTAACACTAATCACGTCACCTGTTCCTCACTCCCTTATCACCAGCTGCACTTGATTAGGTCACTCACTATATTACCCGGTTTCACTCCTCAGTCACTTGCCAGGTCTTTCTAGTCTCTAGGCCATTTTTTCTCCTGTGCTCTTTCATTTTTGTATATTATTATTCCCTAGCCAGCTACTGTTTTGTGTTTCCCTGACGGACTGGTCCTCCAGACCGTGGCTCCACTCTCCCCTCCCAGGCAGGTCAATGCTCAGTCGCCTATCTGTTCCACTATTGCCTCCATCTCTCTGTCTCCACCTTCAGTAGCCACCATCACCACCGACCAGCCCAGGAGTGACCCAGCCTACGCAGCTCGGCCCAGCTCGCCATCTCCTCGCCTCCTGCTGTTGGTCAAACACCCGGCTACTACTCATCGACAGGACTACGCACTATTTCCCTCTGTGCATTTTTACTCTCACCATCACTGTACATAATAAATCACTGCTTGCATCGAAGTCAGCTACCTGGGTCCGCCTCTTTCTCATTCGCTCACTGACAGGTGCGAACGGAACATAACAATGTCAGTGACATAAAAACGTCTCAAATTTAAAAGGTCATATAAAATGATTTCTTTCACGCTGCTCAAGATTATTTGAATTGTTTTAATGCATTTTTGTACTAACCTTTGTCAAAAAAATGTTAGCTAAATGAACATTTTCTTTTATATTACAAGCATAATAAAAATGTAATAATTAATACAAAAAACTAATAAAATTAGAAAAAAAAATGTAGATTCCATTTGGACCTGTGTTTTCCATTTTCTGCCAGCTCTTCTTATCTTCAAGCTGTTGTAAATTACCATGTGCATCACGAATAATGCATGGAGGAACATGACTTAAAACCACTGATGGACTAACTTAGCTCTTTCAACCCATACTTTTAATCAGGTATATCTCTGGACTATCTATGGCTTTTAAGAGGGACTGACACTGCAGCTGATGTATCAGGCCTGTTACTGCCATCTGTCTGCATGATAAAATCAAAGGAACCTCTCCTGTCTGTCCCACTGACAAGTTTCATTTTTGGTCATTGGTAATATTATCTTATTAAAGAGCAAGCTGGACTTATGAGAAGACTATTGAACTTTGATTTATGGGATATTTTGTAAAGAAGCTCGAGAGATTAGTGCAAGGCTAGCTCATCAGTTGAGCAATGCAATCAAATGTCCAGGGGCCAGAACACCCCAGGTTTAGGCTACTTAATTATTTAATTTGACATAATTAATCATAAAATTGCCAGAATTTTTCTTCCCTTAAATAAAATATCAATGCCTCTTTCTAGTGGCTCAGGTCTTCAGGCTCTATGTCAAGATCCAGCTATAAGACCTGAAGTGTTTTAGTTTATATTGTGATAATTTTATACAATTACTTTAATACTATGCATGTTATGAAATTAACAGACAAAAAACTTTAGACAGGACATAGGCTATTATTACATCATGGGAGAACTATAAAGTTGCAAGCAACAGTTATTTTCCTTAATAATAGACCTACATCAAGAGCACACAATGAAAATGTAGCAGATTTGCACAATCAAATAAAAAAAAAGTATTCTCTTCATTTCGTGTCTCAACTCCTGTGCTGTTATGTGCCAGATATAGGCTTTATATAAAATAAAAGAAAATGTTTTGTTAATTGGTGTGTACAGATCTTCTGTCTTCTTTGTGTTTGTCTTCTTTCTTTGCTCTGCATGTAGGCCAATTTGGTTACAGAAACCCTAAATGCATCTCCTTTATTTAAATTTTGCCATTGATCTGAGAATGAGTTTCTTTAGCACTCACTTATTAATTGTTTAGTGTATACAATGTCAAAAAATTGTGAAAACGTCCTATCAATATTCCCTGAAGCACAAGTGAACATATTCTTGTTTTGTCAGATCAACAGTCATAAATGCAATGAGGTTACATTTTTTATCATAAAAACCTTTTAAAAAAGACCAATAAACTTTTTGGAGTTTATTGCGTTAAAAATGACTTAAAACAATTAGACTTAGCAATTTACCAAAACGACAGCCAAATCATTTTCTGGATGTTTGAGGAAATACTGAAGGGGTAAGAGAAACATTCAGCAGGTATAAGCGTATAATACAGCATGATATAATACAGTGCTTCACAACGCTCATTTCGCTTACACGTAAATACTGATATTGAGTAATAGATATTGTTAGTCCTCCTTTATTGTACACTGTATGTTCCATCAATGGCTCTCGTGGGCTGCAGTACCAACTTTAGCCACTCCGTGGAGTTGGTAGTGTGACCTACTGAAGTGCCAAAAAGCTGAACGCAAAGAAGAAACTACGACGTCACGTAAATATGGCTTCTTTAAGCAACCCATGGAGCATGAAATGAGATAGTAGATGTTCAAATGTAGTATTGTGTATAAGGTTTAGCATAGATTCTAAGCGCTCTCGTTGCCGATATGGACAACACATACCAGCAGCAGGTTTTGTCAGAAAAGCAGCCGCAGCCGTCTTCCTATACTGGCGTCTGTTTGGGGACATCGTACACCTCTAACAGACCCCTACCGAGCGGCGCAACTCCTGAACCAGCACAGTGGACTCCATCACCGACACACCCGGACCACACTGGTCCTCGATGGGCCCCTTCACCGGGATATTACGGTCAACAAATTTACGGCTTCAATTTCGCCGCACAATCTCCCGGCGGAGTTCAATTTCGCCGCGCAAGCTCCCGGCGGAGGACCTTTTGGAGGGGCCCCCTTGGCCCCTCCGTATGGGTTTGACCCATCCGTTCCTCCGCCTCCCTTCGGCTGTCCCCCACCGGGACAGTTTCCGAGCTTGGCCCCTGCTCCTCCAGTAATCACATACAGCAACACAGAAACATTTCCCTCGCAGTTTAGAGCTGGTCCTCCGCCCTCTCATTATGACTTCCAGCCGGCACCAAACTCCCTTCAGACCCAGCACCAGGAATATGAGGATTTTCGTGAGGATGGAGCTTCGCTCGGCGGCCCGCTCCTTCCACTACCTCCACGTCCGGGTCTGGATTATGACCGGAGAACAGCAGCAGCAACACAGCCTGAGGATGAAGCAGCTCTCCAGAGGAGGCAGGATATACAATGGCTCAGGCAGTTCTTACAGAACAGGGTTAAAAAGTCGGAGATCCAACAGACCAAGCAGAAGCAGCAGCAGTCACATCCCATCTCTGTTCCTGCCCTAAGAGAGGCTCTATACGGGGCAGCTGAGCTCATCTCAGCCCTGGAAGAGTCCTGTGAAACCCTGAAGCACAACGTGAAGAATGACTGTGTGTGGACGGACTCATATCTAACTGCTCTAAACATAAAGAGACAGCTACAGGACAAACTAAAACTCTTCAGTGACAGTGAGTGTTTAAACACATTCAAAGCTAAACTGAACCGTGTTTCCAAGAGGAGGGTCCGGAAACTGAGAGCCAGCAAAGCCCTGCAGGTGGAGGAACAACGCAGGCAGGAACTCATCTGTGAGAAAGAAGCTTCTATAGACAAATGGAGGATGAAGCAGATACATGAAGTAGAGGAGAAGAAGAAGGTTAGAACATTTGTCACTTGTATTTTGTGGCATTCATGTGGATGGCAAAGTAAGAATTTCATTGTACAGGGAAACACATTTCCTAACTGTGCATATGACAAATAAACGCTTTGACCTTTGACCTAATGGCAGAAGAAAGCCAGTTAGACAAAGTTGTCTGTATACATAGACGGACACATTTCCAGCTACATTTGTCCTACTGGTGGAGAAGCAAGTGATCCTTGATTTGTACTCAATACCACATAATAGCTGATATAAAGGAGGCAAATAGATGTTAGTTCATAGTGTCCAGTACAGGACCACTCCCTGTGATAACTGTTGACAGGTGATCTCATGGGTTTCTTATTCAAATAGAAGAGTTATGTATAGCCAGGCTAGTCACATATTGCTTTTTCACCTACTGCATCAAAATTGAATTTAAATGGCTGTTCTCAGATCATCTGATGCTGTGACATGTCACTGTTCATGTAGACATGATGACTGTGAACCACAGTAGCTTGATTCTATCACAAAGAGATGGTGTGGAGAGACTAGCAGGGGATGATGATGATGATGAATGGTCAGGTTTGTATGTGTTTGTGTATCAGGAACAGGAGCTGAAGCTGGCTGCAGACGCTGTTCTCTGTGAGGTGAGGAAGAAACAGGCAGACATCAAGAGGATGCAGGACATCCTGCGATCTCTGGAGAAACTGCGCAGACTGAGAAAAGAGGCAGCATCTAGGAAAGGTGAGAGGTGCATCGTTCAGCATCTAGGAAAGGTGAGAGGTGCATTGTTACTCATTTAAGTTCTGTTTGCTCATATGTTGTATGTTTTGGCAGTATGTTTTTATTATTCATGAACTATTCTGTGCAGTTCCATCCCTGTAGTGTTGTATCCATTCACATAGTAAGATATGCAGGTGGAATGAAGGGAAAAATGAAACAATAGGGGGATGCTGGTCAGATTATAACTTGGAGGAGGGTTTTTAACCTCTTCTGCTCCATTTGCCCTGTGGGGGGAAAGAATTGATCTGATATGAGAAAACCTACAAGTTCATATAGATTCAAATGAGCTTTTTCCCAGTGTTTCATAGTTTTATCTTCATTGTGCATAAGGGATGATGACTGTAAAAATACATTGCTCTTAGAAAGCAGAGAAGATAAACATCTCTGTGTCTCTGCATGTTTCACCTTGTGCTGCTGAAAACTTGAAAAGACCATTCAGGGTGGACCTGCCTGCAAACTGAAAGGTTTCAGGTCTCATCAGATCAAATTGCTGTCATGCATTTTACTTAAAAGTGAGTAGGGCGTTTATTCAGACATGAGAATAACATGTTAAATTACCATCAAACTGATGTAAAAGGTGCATGTTTCGGACTTTAGTGTGAGCATGTGAGCCCAGACATAGAGACATCCCTCCTGAGTAGCAGACTGTAATAGGTGAAGCTGTGTCTGTCTGTGTCAGGAATTGTCACAGAGGAGGGATGTTGTTCAGCAGTCGACTGGAGCAGCTGAGGAGCGTGATGAAGAGGAGGACGGTGGTTTACTCAGCAGAGGAGAAAGCTCTGATGGTGATGCTGGAGGGTGAGCAGGAGGAGGAGAGGAGGAGAGAGCAGGAGAGAAGGGTGAAGAAGGAGAGAGAGAGACATCTGCAGAGGAAACGCAGAATGGACTCTATGCTGTTTGGAGGTAAACCCCATAATTTAACAGTCACATCTGTTTAAATATGTGTGTGCATTTTTATTATGTTGTTGTTGATTCATTTTCTTTGTTTCACAGATGAGCTTCCTGCTGGTCCTGTCTTGCAGCCCTTCAGAGAATATTACACCCAAGCTGAACACTCACTGGATGCATTAATACAAATCAGGTTAGTCACTACCGACTCAGCTATGCTAGCAGTAAAGGGACTCAGGACATAAATACATTTGAGTAAGGAGAGATCAGATGGATGGGCAGTTGTAGGTATGAAAGACAAGCGGTATGAATTAAAATTATATTTAAAGAATAGCAGCTAGTGGGAGATTGGCTCAAGCAACACAGGCAGTAAGATCATTGGTCAGAGAAGGTGATCTCAGGATAGAAGGTGGAGGGACAATTGACAGTGTGGGAAAGCAGATGACAGAGAGAAACTGAAATTTAACAGCCCACATCAGTCCACTGTGGACAAGCAGAATGTGAGGGACAAGATCTTCCTTATTGAACTTTCACTTAAGCTTCATGTATAAATAAAACTACATGATACAGTCAAAACAAAATAATCTGTTTGATTTGAAGTATTTTCTTGTTTGTTAATACCCCTGCATAGTTTCTCTTTGTTAATTACACTAAACTTTTGAAAATAAATAAATATAGGATTAAAGGTGTGTGTAAATAGAGAAACAAATATAAATTTATGATGGCATGGCCTGACACCCCCCTCTTCCGGGCCACATAATGGGTACACATCATTTAACTCATATACTGAGCTTCCATATGAATGCGCTCCCATTCTTTGGCCATTTAATTGTGCATTATTGACAGTTTAGCCTTTAAAGCCAACTTGGGGAGAACGGGAATTGGTGGTTCGATTTCTGTTCTCCCCAGTCCACATGTTGAAGTATCCCTAGGCAAGATACCGAACCCCAAGTTGCTCACGATGCCGGGACAGCGCTGCCATCGGTGTGCGTATGAGTTGGCTCCACTGACAGCTGCCTCAGTTCTCTACCAGAGAGTGTGTAACATACTTGGCCAATAAAAGTGATTATCATCATCAGTTGTGTGCACATGTTTTTAAGTCTTAACACCATCTGCTGGTTGTAGTAAGAATGACATGTTAGCTGACAGCACCAGGCCGGTTACACAGCTGCTATGTAGACGCCATGGCAGGGGAGTCAGATGTCACTGATAACAGCAGCCTTCTGTTCTCTTCTGCTCATGTCCCAGTGAGTTGCCATCCACCTCTTTTTATCAGCATTTTCAATTTCAGAAATGACTTCCATCATGTTTTCCACAGGTTTATACATCCTTTGAATGCTGACCGGACCTCTGTTAATGTCCTCTTCTGCAGTGGTTTAATGGAGAATTTATTCCACTGGCTGTTTACCTCCATCAACCAATCAGCTCATATTCACACAACAGGAGCAGAACATAGGTCACATTTTGTTTGCACCATTTTCTGGAGCCTTCCTTTAAATTTAAACTACGTTTGACTGGAAACCAGCCTGAATAAAATCAGGACCCTGAAACTGAATTCAGGTGTCATTAGTTTGAGTGGGCACCTGTGATTATTCTGCGGTCACATATCAACATGGTCTCAGTGAAAAAGGCTGATACACACCTGTCTTGCCATTTAGAGGATAATCCCAGGCCTGGGCTGCAATGTGTTTGTCTTTCAGGAGGGATTGGGATGTCTTTGTGGTTGCACCAGATCATCCTGATGGTTCACCGGTTCCTCAGGGCTGGGTCCTGCCTGTGCCCCCGTCAGACCAGGACTGGGCCGCTGCTCTGCAGCCTGTTGACACTGACACAGACTGACTCCCTGCTGGTTTACTGAGGTAACGAGAGTTTACAGTTGTAATCATTCACAGCCTTTGTTACTAAATAAAAAGTAAGAACAAGTTAATGATGTAAAATGATGAGAGAGAGCATTAAAGCCTTCTCTTTTTTGATACAATAACAGTAGTTTGAACAGAAAGAGAAAGTCATAGGCTTGTAGTTTAATACGATGGCATCTGGTGATCTTTAATGTCTTTCTCATTTGAACAGGAACTGTCAGAATATAATTAATGATGACGATGATGTGCCAACTGCAGAGGTTATAGGACAGATCAGTCTGACTGTCGGCAGTCGAGGAAAGACCCTGAGTCAATGTTAAGAAACTCAGTATTTGCAACCATCATCTTCCTTTGGCTGTTTGATTTTCCAGTTTGGTCCCGTTTCCCCAGAGGTCTACAGCACAGTGAGGAGGGCAACAATGTCTAATGATGGATGTGAACTACATGATAAAATTCAACAAAACCACTGTATTGATAACTTAAATCCAACAAAAATGGCATGGCGCAAAAATACCACACTGTACCAGTAATATGTTTTTTTATTTAATGTCTTTAATTTGGGAAAAGTTGTATTTGTTCATGATATTTTTCATCTATTTTTTACCTGATTAATAAAATGTATTTTTTGGTTAGAATTTTTATTTTGATGTTATAATTTTAATAATTGAAGAACATATATAATAAAGTAAGAATAATCAGGGACAATCACTTTGACATGCAATGGCAGAACAATGCTACGCCGGGCCTGGTGCACACCATGCCGGGACCCTCATCACTCATCTATAATTCCTCTCCTTTAAAAGGGCAACCAGTTACTTGTGCAAACAATAGCCTACCAACCATCTTCCTACATAGAACCTCAATATTATCAATTAGAAAATGGCACATACAAAAGCAAAAATGAACATTGATTGAAAAGACTATGGTCACTGGCAGATGCAATATGGACATAAATCAATAAACAGGAGGCTACTGGAGGCAACACAAGAGCACCCTTTGCTGAAGTTTTTTTGTGAACTAACAAGCCCTTACATCATAAATTAATTGGTGATTGGATGCTTCAGAAGGATCTAAGGAAAGGACATCTCATGTCATTAATAACGTGTTTCCTCAAGTCCTTGCTCACATTTTCCTTGCTTCTTACGTAGGTGGGACCAAGACATGGAAAAGTACTTGTGTGCTTCCATACTTATTTAATACTTACATATATGAATTTGTTGAATATTTAGGCACCTTATTTGACAGTTTGATATTTCATCCTCTTGCTGAGGACAGGTTAAGTTACATATATTTTCCACGAACAAATTGTAGGCCTAATGAAATTCACTAAAATGTAAGAAATGAATGCTGTGACTCTGTATTTGTAACTTTTTAAATATTTGTATTATTATGAATTTCTTGCCTTTTAATATACCAAAGACTTTTTCATGTAGGACATAGAAAAATCTCAATAATCAGTGCATGATTTATATACAATCTATATACTGAGGCACTGGGTGTGTTGGTGAGCAAAATGTAGTTTATTATACACTATGAAATAAAGTGGAACTGGGAGTTGAACACACAATACTCAAAGAATAATTAATAATCAGTTTTGAGGAAGTGTTAAAGACAGCAAAGTGTTTGACTGCAGCTGACCTAAGACCTAACATCAGTGCTAACAACAGGACCATAGTGTAATCAGGTTACGCCTGTGATGTGATGTTTTCACTTTGCTTGCTGCTGTCGTCTGTGCAGGGAGTGTGTGTGTGGGCAGTAAATCAGCTGTAGGTCAGCACAGGAGTGCTCCAGGTGGATCTCCTTAAAGCACCCTCCTCAGAGAAGCTTTACACACACACACACACACACATACTCCTACACACACCTGAGAGGATACACGGAGTCTGCAGCTCTGACAAAACACAGGTAGGCTCACATGACTTTATTATAATATTAAATTCTAAAGTTTAATTGGGAAAACTCTACAATTTACCTGTAAAGCAAATGATTTTTTTTAAGATTAGTGTCCTCTTTACATTTTATTTCAAATGGCACACATGCATAAAGTACACTTAGAGTAAGAAAAATACAAAATGCCATCTATTACTTCAAACTATTACTGTTATTTGATTAGACTGAGACTGGTTAAACTGGCAGACAGTCACAAAATGTCTGCAGCACAAGAGGCATCTGCTGCGACTGCTGTTTCACATCTTCTCACACTTACACTGTTGGATCATTTAATAATGGTAAAAATAACCTGCAAATATGTTGCAAATTGGAAAAGAACTTAGACCCTCAATTAAATTCTGCAGTATAAAATACAGTGAATAAAAAGAGTAGTATTTCCAAAATACAACAAAAGAGGATAAAAACAATTATACAAAAATATAGTGGAACTGAGCAAATAAATCTTTGGGCTGACATTAACAAGAGGACTTTTACAGCTGTTAGTGATTCTGCAGCCTCAGATATTCAGAACAGTTATTCAGTATCACTGTAAAGTGAAGCTCACAACACAAAGCTGTAAGTTTTATTTTATTTCAGTAATATGAAATTATCTTCTAGCTTTGTAGAACAAATGTCTCTTTGTTCTCAGTGTCATATCGACATCGTAGATAAATACAAATAATGCAGTTAGTTTGAAGTCTTACAGTGGAATAGAAGAGGAATATTTAGTGTTTATTCACCAGGAATCACGCACTTTCAATTCTGGCTTTTCTTAAGTGAAGTCTTGTACTGGGTTTAGACTGGGGTCTAGGTTCTGTGGGAGCGGTTTTATACATTTGATGGTATTTATCTAGTAGCATTCACATGTAACTTAAGTGTTACATGCTAATGACTCAGACACAGTAAGCTCAAGGAGCATCTGTCCTTTCTGCTGCTTTAAATCCTGGATCAGCTGTCTGGTTGGTGTTTTGGTGTTTCTGGAGCAACTATCTGCTTAAGTTTCATGGGACACCAGGGACACAGCTGATTTACCTCATCACATGTCTGCTTCAACCATATGGTTTACTCACCCTAATCCACACTCAGGTTTTATGTGTGTGTGTATTATGTGCATGTCCTTCATGCACCTTGCCAGTAGGTGGAAGTTGTGGCACAAATTCCTAGTCTGCAGTATAATGAAAATACACAGTGTGTCTTAAAGGAGTGTGACTGTTACATGAAGTGAGCATCATGCTGCCTTGTCTCAACACACACTGTTGTAATCTCTAGCTCTTTGCTTAAGCATTATTCACTCATTGTTTTGTGACTGCCTTCACAGAACACAGAGCTGGAAGCAGGCAGAAAAGTAAATCCGATTTAGCTTTCAGCTTATCTCAGATCTGTCTGACCGTCTTACTGTGTTAAGTGACAACTTACGTTTATATATATATACACCACCATTGTTTGCTAATATGTAAGTGTATAGAGGTTTTTCCAACAGGTATGCCACACATATGGCAACCAGTGGACATTTGATGATCCTACATCTGCATACCAGTTCTGTGTACAGAACTGTTGTCTATAGAGGTTCACATAATTTTTAAAAAATTATTGAAGCAAAATATTATGATGTCAATGTAGACAATGAAATTAATATAATCTCAATTTCGTAGTGTATATGTTTTAAAGTTAGACATTTTAAGGTGTGTTGTTATTTTGCTTACTTGTAAGGGTGTAAAGGTTTTTTTTTTAATTTGTTTTTTGAAATTTGTTTTAACTGGGACCCAGGAAGACTAGCTAATGGGGTATCCAACAAATCAATAACCTTAAGGCCTTCAAGGCATTTCTCATGATGAAAAAATACCTTTAAATGGCTCCATAACATTTTTTCAAATATTCTTTTCAAACTTTTGATGATTTTCATGGTATTGGTGTCCTGTTACTAGGTGTATTCATTTATTTGATTGGCGTATCATTATGCCTTCACTAGGATCACGATAGCCCCATTGAGGACTGGCTCCTTATTGCATAGGTGACAGAAAAATGATCAGCAATTGTAGAAAATGTACCATGAACAATTCAAATCTGCATGTTCGGATCTGTGAAGTAGCAGTTGGTATATATTGCAGAATTGGTGGGTGGTATAAAAAGATGAAAAGTCAAACTCTGTGTGTCAGTGAACTGAGCAGAATGGACGGTGTCCCGCTGAAGATACCACCGACTGTATCAAAGGACGTCAAAGGGCACATCGAGGTGACCGTCCCTGATTATCTCACCATACTGCAGGAGACAGAGGTGAGTTTGGTTTCCTCTTTGTCTCTACTCAATGTGAACACCAAGACCACGTTCACACTGCAGGCTGAAGTGACTTAAATCCGATCTTTTTGCCCAAATGTGACCCATATCCGATTTCCTTATCACAGTGTGAACAGCACAAATCCGATTTTTTCAAATCTGACCCAGGCCACTTTCATATGTGGTCCTAAATCGGATACGTATCCGATGTTATGCAATGCGACTTCAGTCTGAACGGCCAGGTCGCATTTCATGCGATTTTATGTCATTGAAATGCGACAGCCGTCACAATTCTGCGCTGGACGAGGCGAGGGGTAATAAAAAAAAAGGCAGACAACGGTGATTCAGGTGGTGATAACGTTTCTCACTCGGAAATTATTAATGAATTCACGGAATCCCACCAGTCCTGGCTCCGACTCCGCACCCACACATTCCTCTGTACCGAGGTAGCAGCCACTGCTCCACAAAAGGCCATAAGCAATATTTGTGCTCTCCTTCTTGATATTCTTATTATTATTATTTCTTTATTTCGATTGCACATTAACTGGTACATCGCTACGCACATGCTATCACGAAAAAAATCGGAGTTCGGCAAAAAATCCGATCGGAGCATTAAGACCTGCAGTGTGAACGTAGTGTGACAGATGCACTTTACCCAGACTCCACAGCCCCTACAATCTCTTATATATAGTGTTTCAACAATTATTGAAATGTGGTTCAGATATTCATGTTTACTCAGGATAAACTGTAATAACTTTGGTGATACTCTGACTTTTTATCTAATGCCACCATCAGGTCAACATTTTAATTTGTCCAATGCTTGGATTTATGACCACATTCCTACAAAACGTACATTCCCAGCCATAGCTTTACTTTGTGTTTACATGAGCAAATGTTAGCATGTTTCTTTAAGACAAACTAGACTAGAAAATGCTAGCTGCTAGCATGGCTGTTCTGTGTTCTGTTGAATAAATCATTTACATACTCTGCTCCGACGGGACAGCTGCTTGTTTGTTTGTTTTCCATAAATAACCAGAAGCAAAAGGTTAACTAAAGTTATTTATTAAACTGACTGGGGAGTTTTTACAAAGGATAGCTGAAATAACAAAAACTGGCTATAAAAGAGAACAAAAGGGCCAAATAAATCTAACAACATAATCAGGCCAAATTACAAATATTCAGAATAACGCAAACACCAAACGGGCATCTCATAACAAATCAAAGTACATAGCACATAGTGAACATTCACACAGAATGAACACCAAAATGGAGTACAATGTACTGGACATGAGTAATCCCTAAAAAGAACTACATGAATGAGAAACACAATAACACAAAAGAACAGAAAACAAACAACGTGGCAAGCTGCTCACATCAAATCACAGTGGCCTTGAATGAGAGGCAAGCTGTGTTTTTAAAGGTGAACAGGTGAGACTTATTGCTGTTCTTGGATTAGATCATTGGACTGGGATGCCAGTCCAATCACTCAGGGAGGGAGGCGGGCCAAAGAACAGGTGCAGGCAGCAGGGGAACCAATCCCAGATGAGCATCTGCACATACTAATTTACATACTTGGAAACCGTTAGACAGGCGAAAAGGGCCAGGGCTGTAGCACTGACATATCTGGTGCAGCCAGAGAACACCAACAGTGTCCACGTTACTTTTTTCTTTTTCACAACCTGGTAGCTCATTAAAACTGCAGGCTGCAACGATCAGCCAAGTTCCTTTGCATAATGGAGTGGAGTAGAAAACAACTTTATACTTTGGTTTCCATGTTCACTTGGCTGTTCCCAAAAAACAGCAGCATTCTCATCTTTTTGAATCTGTATGTGTGAATGGCTCTCAGTCTTGTTTAGAGATGTCGTCATGGGCTAGTGCAGAACTAGTGCTGGGTCAGGTATGAGTTAGGATGCCTGAGATAAAAAGTCAAGAGGTCATCATATGGAAGTTTTGTGGTAATCCATGCAGCAGGTTTTGGGGTACAGTATTTCATTGCAGGGCTTGGCCAACATTCCAAGCTAATTTACTGTAGCAAAAACATCAGAGACAATGTCACTTTGGTGAACTAATGATGTAAGAATAAAGACAGTTTCAGAGTAGTAGACTGCTTGTAAGGACTGTTTCTATTGCTAACATGTTGTGTCTCCATGTAACAGTACGAGTTCAGTCTGGAGAACTGGGTGCTAACTGGGCTGCAGAGTGGCTTCCCCAGCCAGCACCAGCCTCAGCTCTCCTCCTCTTCATCAGGATTGCTGCCATCTTGTCCTCCATACCAAATGATGTTCAGCAGCCCTCAGCAGAGCCACCTGGCCAGCTGCCACAGCTCTGATTTCTGGGAGCCCAACCCTCGACAGCACTCCCACAGCCTCAACCTCACGGTCTTGCGCACTAAATTCACCATCTCTGACTCTGATGGCGAAGGAGAGATTATTGCACAGAAAGCCCAGATAACTATGTCAGCAACAGGGCACTTGGCCGGAGAGCGTTCTGCTGAGTCATGTCAGCTAGGTCTGAGGAAAACACAGAATGCCTTTGTCAACCCTCCAGCCTGCCTCAGCAGCCTGCCACACCAGTGCAGGAAGAACCTACGACAGTGCTCCCTCTTTATGCCGGAGACATCTACACAACATGATTTCATCACAGGCAGCCTGTCCTCACACGAAGACACCGGGACCACCAACATCAGAGCCCCCAGCACTAGAGCCAAAACAATCAACAGGCTCACCGGCATCAACAACCACAACACAACAGATGTGGTAAAAGATCTGTGAGCAGTGGTGCTCCAGTTTTATTTACAGTAACCTTTCAAAACAGCCCGACATACTGTAGAAGATAACTGTGGTCCAGGAGGTGTTTAACACACATTAGAAATATGCAGTAGCACATAGGAAACAAGTATGAGTGCTGTGTGTTTGTTTTATATTTGTAATTGCAAAACATCTCACTCATGATTTTTGATATTTTCAAGCTGTGTTCTCCCACATAGACCATCAGTACAACTGATCAATATATTATAATATCAATAGTGATACATTTTTCATTGTTTGGATTCTGCCCTTCAGCAGAAGGTGGGAGTATCAACTTTATTTTTTAATGTGAATGTGTCAACAAATGGACATGAGAGTTAGCGTATATTTCGAAAAAACACATACAACCAGATCAGACTGTGCAAGGTGCTAAACTGGGCAAAGCTACCAAAAAGAGTTTATTGTAGCAGAAATGAAAACAATTTATGAATATATCTCATAAGAAATCACAATGGTAGAATATCAGTTAAACTGTCTAAAGTCAAATTAGATTTTGAATCTAAAACTTGTGATTTAAATGATAATTTAGAGGAAAAAAACTACGTTTCTGTAAGTTATAGGCTTTACTTTAGGAGTGACTATGCTATATGAGACAACTAGTCATTATATATACATACACATATATTTAGCTGGAGCTTAGCCATCAACTCTGAAGATTCCTCATGGTCAAAGAAAGGAGAAGCTCTTGGTTCGGTGCCCCTAAAAAACAATTTGGCTGAAGTAACAATGAATTTCTTTAACTACAAAACTTCCTTGGCTTCACTTGGGCTGAGGAACTGTTTGAATCTGGCATGCTGAAACTTCAGATCAGCTTGTTTCCCTGTTTACTACAAAAAAGAGTCAAAAGGATGACATAAAAACACTTCTGAGGATGATGCAAACATAAGATCTTAACAAAATTGAATTTTAACAACTATATAAAATAAGGACGAGACACAGATGAAACGCATACTTTGAAAATGACTTCCGACTGCTGCCAAAATGAAGAAAGGCAGTGCTTGCCTAGTCGTTCATTAGTTCAAGCAGAAGACTTAATCTGATTGGCCAGGATTCTGTAGAGTGGAGTCCTCTGACTGGCTGAGAGACTCGTTACAGAAATGCTTTCCAGGTTGGTTCTTTTGGAAGTGCACTATGGAAATGTTCACGCCCCATCTCTGGATCAAACTGTTGGTTTAGATTTCACAGAGAGATGAATTTTATGCAAGATTCATAACTTTCTTCCCACTGTGACTTACAGATGTGGACAGAATTGTTGGTACCCTTCCATTAAAGAGAAACTCACAATGGTCACTAAAATAATGTGAAACTGACAAAAGTAATAATAAATAAAAATGTACTAAAAATTATCTGAACTCATGAAGCCTCTTGGATGAGAGGTGAAACATCTTCGACCTAAAAAACCTGGTCCAGTTGATTTTTCTAAGTTTTTTCAGTTCACAGTAGCTACAGTGTTCTTTTCTTCTTCTGTTAAAAAGAAACTCACAATGGTCACTGAAATAATGTGAAACTGAAAAAAGTAATAATAAATAAAAATTGACTGAAAATTAACTAATGAAAATCAGTCATTGCTTTTGAATTGTGGTTCAACAGAAGCATTTTAAAAAACAAACTAATGAAACTGGCCTGGACAAAAATGATGGTACCCCTATAAAGGACTGAAAATGGTGTGTACCACACTGAACATGGACCACAGAAAGCTAAGGAGAGAGTTGTCTCAGGAGATTAGAAAGACAATTATACACAAACATGTTAAAGGTAAAGGCTATAATTATACACAAACATGTTAAAGGTAAAGGCTATAAGACCATCTCCAAGTAGCTTGATGTTCCTGTGATTACAGTGCAACTGATACCAAACAGCACAGTGACTTTTCACTCTCTAAATAGGCAGAGTGACTGATTACAAGTTTGAAAACACCTGTGATGCTAATTAGAGGACACACTTCACTTTAACATGTCCCTGTGGTCAAATTTTCAATCCTTTATAGGGGCACCATCATTTTTGTCCAGGCCAGTTTCATTAGTTTGTTTTTTAAAATGTTTTTGTTGAACCAAAATTCAAAAGCAATGACTGATTTTCATTAGTTAATTTTCAGTCAATTTTTATTCATTTATTATTATTATTATTATTATTACTTTTGTCAGTTTCACATTATTTCAGTGGCCATTGTGAGTTTCTCTTTCCTTAACGGAAGGGTACCAACAATTTTGTCCATGTCTGTATCACTGAAAACACATACAGGAGCAGAATATATGAACATCAATCTTAAACACAAAGTAACAGTCTAACACTTTAAAAGCAAAATAAAAGAATATATTTTATATAAGTGAGAATTGTTATTAGCACACAATCAAAAACAATTTCCTAAACTAATGTTTTGGCACTACTGAAAAAAAAATTGAATTTGTCAAGATTAACATGAAAGGTGTCTCTGCTGATGGCTGAGCTTAAGCATTTTAAAAACAATAGACAAATTTACATCAAACATTTCTGTAGGCTTGAACAGTTTTTACAGTTTGGTCTACATTATTTTGTAATTTCTAGTTAATTTTCTTATTAGAAGAGAGGAAGAAGACTTTCTATGTACTGATTTAGCTAAGCATGTCCAGAAATCATTTCTTATCTTTACTAAAACATCTCTAAGCTTCTAAATTTCACATTCTCAAATCCAGGAATGTTTTCACTGTCATAAAAGAAAAAGGGAGAACACAATACTGAAGTTTTTACTGCTGCGCTGAAAGGACAGAGGAGGGTTTCTCTGCATTTCTAAGTGTCCTGGTGTAGATAAAGAGGTTAGATGAAGGAAGTAGAAAGAATGAAATAAGAAGACCAAACATCTTGGGTCCATTTGCATTAATTCAAACTTTAGTGTTCTTGGTGCGAAGTCCAAGATGCATATTTGCAGGTGTGAATCAAGTCAAAGTGTAGGGGGAGTTATGGTCTTTGGAGACAGAGTCTGGGCTCTACATTTGATAAGAAGGGGAGATTGCCTTAGCATGCAAAGGACCTGGAAGTTGAGCAAAGCTAGAGGGGTGCAGGGAGAAATGTCTTTCTGCTCCTCACTGCCTTGGAAATCAAAGTTGGTTTATTAAATGTTCATAAGATAAAAGTCTTCTCTGGAACATTTCCTGGCCCTGAGCACTACAATATAAACAGGTCATTGATTATGCTAAGCCCTTTTTGCCTCCATAAGGAAACACTGCTGTGTTTTTTAGATGGAGGAAAGAGGTTATCATTACTAATTAGGGTTGCTAACTTTGGGTCCAGCCCTTGAACATGTGCACAACAACTACTTTTTTGAGCCTTTTGTTGGTGATAATGAAGTTGGGCTGCAAGATTCAGCTTCAAACTGATGCCAACTATTTTGTGGTTTACTGAACCATAATTCTATCTTATGGAGGTTATCAACCCAGTAGTACTGTAAGAGGTTTGTGAGGGCAAGTCCACCACTGTTCCCTTTCCTGTGTAATAAAATTTTTCAATTTGTGGTGTTTGGCTCCACCAGAGGAAAGGCTAACTCATTCCTTCAGCAAGTTTAAAAAGTGGTTCAAGGTCTGAAAATTTCCATCAGCACTTTAGCAACAAACTGTTATTCATGCTGGTTAGCATGTTTCCATTAGCCACAGTGACTTATGGGGTTTGCCTCCCTCTTCAGATGAGCTTCCTGGCCTACTCTTTGAGTTGTTTGAGCTGTATTTTCCAAACATGTTTAAAGAAACACCAGCAATGTTCTGGAAGTGAAAAAAATGGGTGTAACCACAAGATTAATTGTGTATTTCAGATTTGATACTAAGGAGATACTCCCCATGTGTCATCTTAGCCATTTAGAGAGTATGAGAGAGAAGTGGTTTGAGAGTTTAAATAATGATTTTAGTGGTTTAATAAATGCCCCTAGCTCTGGCTATGAATACAGTCCAAATCCTAAGGCATTACCTTGTCATGCTATAAATCTCCTCACATAAGCCAGGAACAGACAGGCCTTACTAAGAATATCCTCACTGCAAAACAGAGCAGAATGACTTTGACTGTTTATATTTAGGTTGATAAAGATCCTTCATCCTTGAAGGCTCAATTACTCTCAAGACTTTAAATGTCCTTTAACTCTTTTTATTTCAACACTGTGCTAGCTGGAAGAAGAAATCTGTCCTCACCATCTCAGCTCTTTTTTCTCAGCTCACATTTCCAAAGCATTTTCAAGGATCTGCACCCTAAAAATAGAACATGTAAAGTTGGCTCAAGGAATCAGCCAGGTTCTAAGGCATTCATCAAGATTAGCAAATGGAAGTCCTTTGAAAATGTCTTTCTTAGGAAAGCTGCATCATTACCCTACCCCAAGAGCCTGAGATATTCAAATCACATTAAATGTGTCTGCCTCAGTAAACATCGCTGTCCCTTTGGCTTCTGCACTCACTGTCTTGTACTTTTTGGTAAGCACAGTCACTCACTGCAGTGTGTTTCCTAGATATCTCTCAGGCCAGACTGTGGAGAGCCCTATGTGACTTCAGCACCCCGGGGTCACCCCTTGACTGGTTCAGATTCCTCAGCAGAGCTCCTGTCAGCTCTGAGCTCTGAGGAGAGAGAGCTGCTGGGAGTCATCACAGCCCAGGGTTACCCCCTCCATACTGCCATCATCGCCCTGCAGAAGATGGGCCAGCAGACTTCAGATCAGGTCTGTCACATATACATCTATTGTTTACAGTTGGTCCGTCATACAGATCACAGGCAACTGGGATTGATACTGGATCCTTGAGGCCGATACTTAGGAGGTTAAATAATTTTACTATTCTGATATTTTTTCTGTCAAGTACATTGTCAAATTACAAGAACAATTTCAATTTGTAAGTCTAGTACAAAGAAATGTCTGATATACTGTATATGGAGGGCCATAGGGATGATGTTTTTGAAGGTCATCCTGACAGCTAGCATCACCCTTTGTTCTCTTGACAAAAAGCCAAGCAGATTTTTCAATAGGCTTTTGGATTATTGCAGAAAATAGGCTCTGTGACAAACAATAGTTTATAAACTTACATGCTTTGTTCTGCAAGATAACCTTAACAAGTGAACACCACTTTTGTGATTTTTGAAGCCCAACTATGATCATCTGATGTAAAAAGCTGTCGTCAGGCTATAAACTAACTACACTACAGCTTCATGACTTCAGTGTCACCACCATGGCTTCCAATTTGTAGGTCGATTTTTAGCACTTACCTCTTATACAAAATCATGTCCTCTTAGATAGGACTCACTACTATGGCACTCTGTTGCACCACATTAAACAAAATGCTTTTTTATTTCTGGTGCAGACTACACAATTTAAGCCCAATAACAACCCAACCTGACTATCATAGGGCATCAGGCACAACAATTTTATTTCATAGAGTGTGTCATAGTAAACAACAACCGATTCTGCATCTAGGGACACCTGACGATCTAGCTAGTGATTGTGGCTGTGTCATTTAGAATAGTTTTCAAGTGCACAACTTAAAGCATAACGAGGCTGTAAAGGCAGACTAGATGAGAGATGAGTCCCCATGATGACATGTAAAATGCAAGACAGCCTCGGTAGTCGTATAGCCATTTGTTAACAACGGCCTTTTTTAAGGCATGTAAAAACAGGCCAACGCTGACCAGCAGGAGCACAGATGTCTCTTCTGTTCACAACATTCTTGGCATGTTGGACTAAACCATATTCATTAAATATCACAGTGATACAGTTAACATTAGCATGTTTTCTTTCACAGTCAGCTTTGGGAAGTAGTTACCTCATCAGAACTAGCTAACATGAGCTAGTTTTCCATTTTCCACTTATTTTTAACTGCTATTTCAAGTTCACCATGTAGGAGAGACAACACAGACTGGTCTAC